GAAATATATTGAAATTTAAATTCTTTATTTGAATCTTCTTACAATTAATTGCTTAAAGTATTAGAAATGAAATTTTGAGGCATATATATTTATATAAAATATTTGTATTCCATGGTAATTTTGTAACAAAAGCAATAGAACACATATACTGAATGATATTGACAAAAATAAAAATTTAAAAAATATGCATATATATACCAAATTTTCTAAAATTTTAAACAAAAAAATAATGCATATACATCGATAGAATTCAGGATGAAAAACACAGTACTTTCAACAATCGAAATTACAATCTCAAAGTTATATTTACCATACTTGCTAGAAAACTATAATTATATATGGTCAACAAACTATTTCTTGATGAAGAATTTACCAACAAATGCCCCAATTACACATGTGTATAGGTCATCATCATAACCATAATCAATATATGAATGCATCTTTGTGTTGCCTTTTAATGAGCTAATATGTGTACAATGTCTAATCAATTCCACATCTGCAGAAGATTCAATGTTTTTGAAATATACATGATCACAATAGGACTAAAGTCAAGAAAAAAGAAAGAAAATATAACTTTTAAAACATATTGAATAATGAGATAATATGTGTACAAAATGATTGCAATCAATCATCATGTTAATCGTTTATACTTTTTTTTGTAGGACTGTTGAAACATTTAAGGATTTGTGTTTTCGTTCTACTAAGAAACTAGTTCTTTCACAAAGAAAAGCATCTTAATGTAAAAATATATCAGATCTAAAATTGAACGCATAGAATGCATAAACAAATAAAAAACCTCACGAAGGTTCTTTGAAGAAAATTGGAGAAAACAAAAAGAAATTAAATTGAAGACGGTTGAATATGGCTAAAACAAGGACGGCATGGAATAAGAAAATGAGAGGAAAAAAAATCTCAAGAAGATCGGCTAGGGTGTTAAGAGTACAATTAAAGGTGTTGACTATGTGATTTATACCTGAAATGAACGGGCAAGATAAAAAACCTAGATCCGATGGCTAGCATTGATAGTGAGGCTTAATTGGGCTTCAATTGTTTGGTCTGACCCAAAGTTCTTAAGGAAGTCCTCAACCTAAATATCGATCGTAGGTGAAATTTCTTAACAAGGTACAATAACATTAAAATTTGGGCAATAAGGTTTGCAAATCTAAAGCATTTAGAGAAATAATTTTAGCTTTCTTCGAGGAAGTGAAACCAACACGTTGCTCAAATATTGATGGGCTAAACTATCTATAGATGGCTAGATATTTAAATTAGAAAAAATTTCTTGCGATCAATATTAAAATAATTTTGGCTGTGAAACAAAACTAACAGAAATTAAGATGAAAGTAAACACTTGAAAGACAAAAGTGTTGTATTTTTGTATAGTAAAACTTAATTTTAACAAGAAACAATACAGTAAAACTTAAAAACTCTTGTATTGAATCAAACATAAAATAAAGCACGAAAACGCAAAGAGAAGTTCGGCTCAACCCCTTGCACAACCCTAGAAAAAATATCGATGCGTGGAAAGGAAACACAGGCTCCAGCTCTGCCTAGAACAACCCCAACTAACCGATTAAGTCCCGCACACCAAATCCTAACCACAATCACTCGCACAGTCAATCCTCACGAATACAAGAAGATATTCGCTCAAATCTCTCAATCTTACACTAGGAAACACTCGCCCATAAACTTAGAGTAAAACCCTCACACAAGATCCTCAATCGATCGTACACAGAACTGAGAGGAAGGAGACAATAAGCTGAGAGAGAAAACGCGATCTAGATGTCTTGATGAATGAATCTGAAGAGCAGCGGCATAAGTATCATATCATACACCCTTTAACACAAATCCAATGGCCATGAACAAAACTCTTCATCCAACGACTCATATTTGGTCTTAGAAAATAAATCTATTAGTGGGTTGGGCCAAAGGTATTGGGCCACGGCTTCACAGTTATGGGTTTTAATTTAATATACAATAACCTCATTATAAATCACAGGCCAAAACTCAACAAAATCTCCACCTTTTTGGGCATGATAAAGTGAGGCGTGCCTAGGGGAATCATCATAGCCACCTGTGTTAGAACACAAAGTTAGTATTTACTCAGAAACAAAATACAAGAAACAACATAGTAGGAAACAGTAAACACCTAACGGGGATCAAAATCTAAAATTCTTAAGCATGATTCAAAGTTTGAAACAGGCAGCGTCTTTGTCCCCATATCAGCTGGGTTAAATTGTGAAGGTATTTTTTTCAAGTTTTATAAACTGAAAAAAATAATTTTTAGAGGTGTCATATGATAGGTGCATGCCGAATCAACCAACCAATCATTTTTGCAAACAGTGGTCACATAATAACATTCAGATTTTACCATATAAACATCATCAAAAAAATTGATTTTCTAAGGTAAGATTTACATGTTCTTGAGACTACCCTTTACCCATAATTCCATATGCATTGCTGCTGTGTTCATTTCTCACTAATATTCTCTCTACCACTCGCGATATTTTCTTCCTTCAGTCATTGAAAGTTCGACGTTGGGTTTTTCCGGCCGATTCAACATAAAATTGAGAGGTGAGTCTTCTGTGTACCTTGGGGAGTGATTGGTGAGGTTTTCTACTGTCCGATTATCCCTAAATTGAACTGATTCCGATAGAGTGTGGGGTTTTCGATTTGGGGTTATAGATTAGGTCACCGGTGGATGTCTATTGGCCGTCAACCGTCGTGCTGTTGTTTACGGGTTGCTCTTCGTCTATTGGAGTATAGCTTTGAATATTCTGAGCTACAATAGGCGTGTGTTCACTAGATCTTGTCTACGATTGTGTTTTGTTTTCAAGTTCTAATAAAAGTGCATATTTAGTTTCTGCGTTTGGTTTCAATTTCGATCCTTTAAAATAATACAAAAAGTTTATTGACCGTGTTTGCAAACCTACATCTACGGTGGTCAAGCCAACTATTTTCACAAGATATATTAATATAAGTTTCGACATAGTACAACGAGTTTTTATAAGCATTAATGTAAACTAATGAACCTGCAACCCAAACCCTTGGTTATCAAGTAATCCTCCAAGCTTCACTTTGACCTTCGTAGTGTAACATTCTCTTACTTGAAGTAGAAACTCTCTCTTTCCGTCTTTAACTAATTATTGCAAGGCCGACAAGCCTTTTCATTCAATCATCAAGGCCAATTGAGATTGTACAGAACCTCAGTTTGTCTAAGGTTACTACCAGAGTGATCATGTCGGTTGGATTTTTCTCTCATTGATTCATTTCTACCTTCATTTCCTCTTTGGAAGAGCTCTCAAATATAGTGAAGCCTCAATTCAATATCGGAGCATAAACCTTTGTACCCAAACCATTTCCTTACTAGCCTATTTTATTTCATTGTATTCAGTTATATAGTTGACAAGGAAAATCGTTTGATTTTTTTCTTTAATCATCAGTTTGCCATAAGTGTTTTTAGCTAAGCAAATCTAAACTACAACTCAAATTTAGAAGTCGGAAATCGTACAAGTGACTGAATGAGGTGTTCATTTAATGTCCACATTATTACATATAACAGACCTTTTATGTATATCATATGATTTGGGCATGAGTGTGAGAAGGACCCAACAAGTTCTCCATCCTGTTGGATGGGCAATTAATGTCCGTACAATCAATTTGCGGCTGAATAAAAATAAAAATATAATTTTATTTATTTTAGGGGCGTAAATTTGGCGCCGCAAAATTATTATTTTCTGTTGTGGTGCGATTTGATGCCAAAGTGAATGTCATTTATTGTTATTGCGGCGCCGGCAAAATGTGGACCACAAAAAATAATTTCATTTATTGCGAATTCAGCGCCAAAATTTCTTTTATCTTTTTTATTTTTTGGTGCCAATAATTGATAGAGAAACAAGTGGTGTACATTTCTATATATTACGAAATATATCATTACATATATCATTTATATATGTAATATCAATATAAAAATATAAAAATAATTATTATTTTGGCACACCTTTTAAAATCAATTTAAAAAATTATAAAATATAATAATCAATGAAAACTTAGATAAAAAAGATGCAAAATTGTAGAAAATTAAAACTTCACAAGGTTAGACATACAACTTTGAAATATATATATATATATAAGATGAGAAATGGAAGTCAATGAAAATGGTCGAGTGAGCATATGTTCTTCGGTGGAGGGGAGGATAAAATGAAGTTGAATTGTTGGAAATGAACTCAGCCATGAAGAAGATTACAGGGAAAATATATATATTTACATTTCTCAATAAAAATACATTAGTTCATCTCACAAAATATTTAAAGAAAATACATCACGCAAATTAAACAACATCATAACTTCACAAGATACTTTTACAATTCGAAAAGTAGCGGTTGCGGGTTCTCACATTGTCAATAAAAATATTACAATTCTTTATAACTAATAACAAAACCTTTGATAGGCCTATTTGGATCTCTTTCTGCCTTCAATAGTCGATGGTAACGTTGCTCCAACGGAAGGATTGGGAGCTCCCATTAAGAGCGAAGCTTATCCTCATAATAATTTATTATAATTATAGGAAAAAAAAAAACCCAACAATATAGTCAAGATTTTATCCTAATATGTAACAACTTGATCTTGATATAGATGAATCTTTCACATGCAAGTTGATAGAGGATGCTCGATGCAAGAAAATGCCAACCTAAAGTATCCTGAAAAATAAACAGTTTTAAAAGTATATAAGTTATTCCTTCCCATAAACACTAACATTACATTAAAAAATAATATTGAAAAGGGGAAGAACTTACTTGAAGAAAATGACAACCCTATAAAGATTTTGTCTCTTATCTTTAGAACTTTCTTCGACACTCATAATTCTCCAATTTATATCTATCATTTGACATGACTGCAATTTTGTGTTAATCATTGCAACACAATCACTTTTGTTTTTTTTTTTTTTTACTTTTCTTGGAAATTGACAGGGTGTGTTTCTTTTGCTTGGGTTTGAAAAATTTTGGTTTGAATTTGGTATTAAAATAATATTTGATAGGATATTTTAGAAGATAATTTTTTTTTTTTCTTTTTGAAAAAACATAAAGTCCAAATAGTAAACCTTGAAAAAATTGGTCTAAAGAGACGGACCCTGTACAATTTTTCCTACACTCATCACTTCATTCTTGTTTTATAAATTTTATTTTTCTTGTTATTTATAGACAACACCTATTAATTTTATATACCTTTGTTTTACCTAACACGCCGTATTAATTACCTACCTACCAACCATCCTAATAATTTACTAAATTATATATTTAATATTCATCTGCCAACTAACTCATTATTACACCAAACTAATAAATATTTTCCTCCAATTTGTAAATATAATTCAATAAAATTCAAAATTTACTGTAACAAAACTTTAAATCATCCAATATTTTACAATGTCGAATGGTCAACAAGGAATTCATACTCCTATTGCAAAAATAAGTAACTGCTTATTATGCCAACATAGAAATTAGAAAATAATTAAGAACAAATACAAATAATCTTCCAGAACCATCTTGGACATATATATTTGAATTTTAGAAATATTAAAATTAAAATTCTCGATGTTAATCTTCTTAGAATTGCCTAAAGTATTAGAAATGAAATTTGAGGTGCATGTTCTTATATAAGATATCTATATTCCATGGTAATTTTGTAATAGAAGAAATATACAAAACACACGTACCACTACAAGAAATTTTCAATTTTGTAACGATGTTTTTTCGTTCCTAAATTCACTTTTTCCGTTACTAATGATATTAGAGACGGAATTAGAAATGGAATTACGTTAGCTACGTGAACTTTAGGAACGGAATTCCGTTACAAATATACTATTTTTTTTTGTAGCGATACTAAATTACATTGACTAACTAAATAAAAATTGCAAAAATATGCCTATACCAATTTTTATAAAATTTCAAATGAATAATAATAATAATAATAATAATAATAATAATAATAATAATAATAATAATGCATATACTTTGATACACTTCAGAATGAAAAACACAATAGTTTCAACAATAGAAATTACAATCTCTAGTCATATTTACCTTGCGAGAAAACCATGATTGTATAGTCAACAAATTATATCTTGCTGCCCTAAATTACATATGTGTATAGGTCATCATCACAAACATAATCAATAAGAATGCACCTTTATGTTGCCTCTTCGATACGATGATCAATTCCAAGAGCAATTTGAGCATCATTTCCACATGCATAATCATCCATATTCACAATTTGAGTTGTTCTGAGAGCATTGCATGCTTCTGCAAAAGATTCAATGTTTTTTAAAAATACATGATCGCAATAGGACTAAAGTCAAGAGAAACAAAGATGATATAACTTTTAAAACATGTTGAATAATGAGCTAATATGTGTACCATATGATCGCAATCAATCATCATGTTAATCGCTTATACTATTAATTTATGCTGCAGGACATGTTGAAACATTTAAGAGTTCATGTTTTCAATCCACTAAGAAACTGTTTCTTTCACAAAGAAAAACAACTTATTAATGTAAAAATATAACCATTACAAAAAAATAATATATTTGTAACGGAATTTCGTCCATAAAGTTCACGTGGCTAACATAATTCTATTCATATTTCCGTCTCTAATGTCATTAGTAACGGAAAAAATAGATTTAGAGACAAAAAAGTTTTGTTACAAAAATGATTTTTTCTTGTAGTGAACAGATCTAAAATATAAGGCATATAATGCATAAAAAAAAATAAAAACTTTAGAACTCCATTTTCATGTGTTGGCTCAAATACATACCATCCTAAAATCTTTGTGAGTAATTATAGGAAAAAGGCAAAGCATAACAAAAATAACACATAAACCTAACTCCCAAAGCCACAAATCCCCTCAAACTTAACAAATGAGAATTTTATTCTTCTAATAAAAATCCAGAGAAACCTCACAAAAATTCTCTGACAGAATTCGGAGAAAATTCGAAAAAAAAAAATTAATTAAAGGCAGTCGAATATGGCTAAAACAAGGACGGCATGGAATAAGAAAGTGAGAGAAAAAAGCACCTTCTCAAGGAGATCGGCTAGGGTGTAAGGAGTACAACTAAAGATGTTGATTAGGTGATTTATACCCAGAATAAACGGGCAAGATCAAATACCTAGATCCAATGGTCGGCATTGATTGGGCATCAATTGTTTGGTTTGGCCCAAGTGCTTAAGGAAGGCTTCAAACCAAATATTCATTGCGAATAAAATTTCTTAACAAGGTAGAATAACATTAAAATTTGGGCAATAAAGTTCGCAAATTTAAAGCACTTAGAGAACTAATTTTAGCTTTCTTCAAGAAATTGAAACCACCACTTTGCTCAAATATTGATGGGCTAACCGAATAGATGGCTAACTATTTAAATTAGGAAAAAAAAAAAAAAAATTCTTGGGGTCAATATTAAAAAAAGAAATTGGTTGTGAAACAAAAGTATTAAAAAGTACGATGAACGCAGACGCTTGAAAAGATAAGAATTTATTGACCGTATTTGGAAAACCTATATCTGGGGTGGTCAAGCCAACTATTTTCACAGGATATATCAAGATGGATTTTGAGATAGTACAACGAGTTTTATAAGCATTAATGTAAACTAATGAGCTTGCAACCCAAACCCTTGGTTATCCACTAATCCTCCAAGTTTCAGCTTGAGCTTCATAGCATAACATTATCTTAGTTGAAGTACAAATTCTCTTTCGCTTTTAGTCTTTAACTACTGAATGCAAGGCCGACAATCCTTTTCATTCAATCATCAAGGCCAACTGAGATTGTGCATAACCTCAATTTGTCTAAGTGTACTACCATAGTGAACATGTCAACTGGATTTTCTCCCATTGACTCATTTCTACCTTCATTTTGTCTTTTGAAGAGCTCCCCTAATATAGTTAAAATTCAGTCATCCGAGGCCACTTGGTTAAATGGGCGATGAAGTTAGTTTCATTCGTATTAACATATTAACCCTTGAAAGCCATGAGGGGCAAGCTATTGCAGACCTTTTGGCCGAGCACCTGGGATGATCCAGGCCGCCCCCACGGAGTACGTTGGGCTGGAAATATGGCTCGTTACTTTTGATGGTTCCAACACTGAAGGAGCAGTAGGTACTGGAGTCGTGATAACCATCCGCAGGGGGGAAATATGGCGTTTTGCCTACCAACTTCCGCAAGGAATCACCAATAATCAAAGCTGATGGAGCCGGAAGGAGAAGAGCTTGAAACATTCGTAAATATTTGAAAAATTTATATCCATCATTGTGGGAACTTAAGGACAATCCGGGCAACAACAAGAAGATCATGTACTTGTAAACGTAAGTTAACCATTTCGAATTTGTAACGGTGAGTACATTTTTTGCATAGTATTATGGTTCGCCCGGAATTTAACTTTACTCAAAGAAAAGGAAGAAATGAAGCAAATTTCAAATTCCTACAAGACAAAAAGTTATTTACTCCTTATATTTTGTAAAAGTTATGCTAATTTTATGATTTTAGGCTATTTATCAAAAGTTTGCTACTATTATATACAAATATAAAATAATTATATGTGTAATAACATATTTGTATTTTAAGTAAAAATTTAGATATTTTGATATTAATTTTTATGATTTTTTTTTATTAAAAAGTGATACTTTTGAATAGGATATAAGAAAATGGTAAAAATAATATTTCGAATTCGAAATGAGTATTTAGTAAAAAAAATCTTTATTTAAAATCTATACTTACTATTTATTTATATAAATGTTATAATTAAATGAACTCAATATATATTTTACACATATTCTATTTTAATAAAAAAATTACATTATCAATTCTATAAAAAATTCAATGTTATACTTATAAAAAGTACAAAAATAGTATCAAAATACTATAAATATATTTTTTTAAATTTTCAGTTCCAAAAAATTTTGAGAACACATTTATAAGACTGGAGAAATACTGTAGAACTAAAAAAAAAAACATTTTTTTTAATCCACCCGGGATTGAAATCGAAACCGTCTCCACGGAACCCTAATTAGGGATGGACGTTCTCCGCTGCGCTACTGTTACTCTTCCAATCTTGATTCATTCTGTGGTGGCAAACCCTAATTTTTGTAATTTTGTGTTATTATTTATACGTAAAACTATTGTTTATCTTTATTGGTAAATTTAATAAATAATGTAATTATTGTTTTTATTATATTAGATTTTGTATTACATTTTATAAATAAATTAATCAAAGTAATACTATTTTTCCTCGTGTCGCTTCCCTTCTCTTCCATATCAACCAAACACACTATTACAATTTTAATATTCTTTCTCCTCCCCTCCCTTCTATTAAAATCCTTCCCTTCCCCTCCCCTCCCCTCCCCTCCTTTGAACCATATAGACCCTTAGGGTTTTTTCTAATTGGGGATTTATCCATTGGTAATTCCTCTTCAATTTTGTTTGTTGTGTAAATTGGTAAGAAGATGAATTGTTACGAAGAGCATGAGATTATAAAATCAGCATTACCTTGTTAACGAATTGCAATGACTCTCTTAGACTTGCATTTGTCAATTTTTATTCTGAAAGATAATCAATAAGTACAGGCGACATAGGACAATACTTGATAATAGCTAGATAATAGCTTTTATTCTTGGTTTATATTCACAAAGATGAAATATTAAACATTATGATCTTTAATTTATGTGATATATCCATTCATTTTATTTTTTTGCAGGTGGAAACGATTGGAATTTCCTTGTTCTCATTCAGCAGTTCTATTGTGAACCAAATATGACCATTATATATGTTCTAAGCATTCGTTGCATATATTTGTCTTTGGCAAGCTTTTCTAACAAAATTCCCAGTTTACGATAACATCCGGTAATTTTTTTTTGTTTAAGTTTTTCTTGCTCCCTAACTTTGCGCACAATTGCAAGAAATAAAATAGTTGAAGGTATACAAGTGTGTGTACACATACGTGATAATATATTTCTGTGAATGTCAAGAATGAAGAAAATGCCGCCACCAACCTTTGTTTTTATAATTGTTTTTGGTTTTCATATGATTGTGGAGTGCTTTGGTCGATAATTTGTTAACACAACTAACTTGATTTCCAAATATTTACCTTGTATGGTATGTAACATTAAATGATCTTGTGACATTGTTCTGATGATAATAAGTAAGAGACAACATAACTTCTTGAAAAGTATTAGTATCCAAACATATAGGATTTTCAATTACTTGTATTGCATTTTGATAAAATTCCTTTTTGCTTAGAAGTATCTTTGTTAATTCCCTAGGCATTGTTACCACATGACCATAGAAGTTTATTTGCTCTTAGAATTCACTCTAGTGAGTCATCAACTAACGAGTTCACATTGATATGGTGTGGCTTAGTCACACATCGATTTTGCAACATATTCTATTTCCTTTAGATGGATATAAATCCGGAGGTGGCGTAGTTCCATGTCGACTTCTTACCAAAAGCTTTTATCCTTAGGTGGCTATAAATACGGTAGGTGTTGATAAACTTAAGCATACAAAATCAAGAGAGCTTTAGTGGGTTGTATGCACGTCTTGGCAAATTCTAAAGGTACTTTTCTTTTTAAATTATGTAGTTTTATGTCCTAATTATGTTCTCTTTTTTATATGTTTCTTTACTGTTTGTACTTGCATTATTATTAAACATGTATGATATATTTTATCAACTAGATAAATATAGGACAAAAGTTATAATGGATATACATATAAGATATTTTTTGCAATATTCTCATTAAATACAATTGTGATAAATTGCCAATTTGTTTTAGAAATTAATATTTCATCCATCTCCTAAATTTATTTTCAAATGTCCTGTTAGTATGTTCAGTCAATTTACTTATTATTAATTTTTGGCACAACCAACAAGTAACATTTAAACATTATCTTCTATTCAACATTTCTTTACAATGTCACTACTTTTATTATATTCTCTCTTTATTTTTAATTTTTACTTAAATTTTTAAAATATATCCAACTATTTTTTTTTTATCACTTTTTAAATAAAATATTATTATTTTTTAATCTCCGTGCTGAATTTAAGTGTGGTAATTTTATCGGACGGAGGGATCATTAGATTAAAAATGAAAGACCAGTTGTTAAGTTTAAAATTAAATCAAATTCACACAGAAGGAGGCTCTACGCATAATTGGGGTATGTGTTGCGCTCTGGTTTCATACTAGAAATAGATCAACCAATGCTCGACACATAGTGGGGTACGTGTCGTGCTCTGGTTTAATGCATGAAATAGATCGACCAATGCTAGACACGTAGTGGGGTACGTGTCGCACTCTGAGTTTATGCATGAAAAAGATCGACCACTGCTCGACACGTAGTGGGGTACGTGTCGCGCTCTGATTTTATGCATGAAAAAGATCGAGCACTGCTTGACACGTAGTGGGGTATGTGTTGAGCTCTGGTTTCGTGTATGAAACGGATCGAAGAGTGTCCACCGTTGGCTCTCAATAAATAGACCCCCGATCCTCCCTTTCTTGCACACACACACACAAATTGTATTTGGGAGCAGCGAGAAGATTTATATTCTCTTTTTTCAGTAGCAACTTTCTCGGTTATTGACAATGTTTCGCAAGAGTCTTTTCAGGTTCGGCATCTAAGTTATTTACAGCTTTCCTTTTTGTCTATGCTTCCCTCTAGTTATTATCGCCATTGAAAATATTATTTATTTGTGCCATCTTTTAGGATACTAAGCCATTAGATCTTCTTGTTTGCAGAACATTGGACGGCGGGAGAGCGTGGATTCAACGTAGTGAATCCTATTATGAACTGAACATGGAGTTACATAAATGGAAGTTGAGCAAGAACCATGGATTTGATCCATCTGTCTTTGGCAAGCTTTTCTAATGAAGATTCTCGTGTTTGATGGCATCCTGTGAGTTTTTGTAAATTTATTTCTCCTTACCCTGCCCCCCCTAATTTTGCATAGCCTGTTGTTTTCATTTGTGCCGTTACTCACAATCGACGATATAATCATGTTGCAGGTGGATGCTATCGAACTATTACGATGTGGAATAGTCTGAAGGGCTTAATGAGGAGGCATGAGGCTTAAGATGTTACTCCATCAGTATAAACCCCAACCAGACTTTCTACTCGAATGTATCTCGAAATTTGCTTAAACTCCATCCACTAGGATTGTTTTGGTGGTTCAAGATCGATGTATTGTTGGAATTTTTTTGAATTGAAAATATATATGTTTATGTGATGTTTTGAATGTAATTGTGAATTTTGGATGCGGCTGTAATATGAATAAATGTGAAAATAAATTCGAGTTACGGAGACGCATTCTTATTTTCTCACCAACATTGTTGAATGGCAATTGCAATTGTCAAGTGATTTTGTTTATGTTAATTTATCGTTTCGAATAATTTTTAAGTGCTTCCCTTGAATGATTAGATTTATCCATAGATTTAACATTAAATGATCGTATTTCTTGATGTATAATTGAAATGTAAGAGTGAGATAAATGCTTCGGAAATCCAAAACCCAAAAAAAGTGGTCTCGAAAATTCGGAGACAAGTAGAAATTAATATTAACCTATGATGCCTGCAGCTTTGGATTTGGTCTCGAAAATTTTGAGACCATTGAAAAAGCGACCTCAAATTTTACTCTTTGGACACCATTCTGAGGCAAATTCTGAAGCTTTAAGAAAATAGTCTCAGATCTAATTCAAATTCCAAAACCATTTTATGAAGTCAAATTAATATTTTTTGGTAGTGATTATCTAGCATCGACACAAAATATCGATATTAAACACTCGACTTCATGCTCGACATTACAATCATATGTATTCCAATATCAAAGCAAGCTCTGGTGTTTGATTTTGATTATTATTTTTTTTTCTCGCAAGGACAAAAATATCGTTTATGATATTTTATAGGTATTTGAAAGAAAAATAAATGTCTTTTAAATTTATAATTCTATCAAATTGAATGGAGACCATTAAATAATAGATTTTTTTTCCCCTTATAATATGTATTACTCTCTCCATCCCAAATATTTTGATTAGTTTATTCTTTTTTAATTAGGAATGTCTAGAAATTTAAATAGTTTTTTTTTTTTTTACTTAAAACTACATGTATCTTTCTAAATACAATTACATGTAAAATATATTTGAAAATTCGTGCTAAAATAAAAAATTAAGAAAACGAAAAAGTACATAGTTAGAATAAAATATGAGTTTTTTAAGTTAAAAAGATATATATTAGGCATAAAATAGGCTTTTTTGTAGTTGATATATTTAGTTTCTTGTGTCTTGATAAATAATGTATGGCGATAATATTAAGCATTTTTGTTTTACACGCAAAATATATATACTTTCACATTTGAAGTGCATTTAAAAAGTCAGAGCAAAACAAGCAAACAAAAAAAAAAAAAAAAAAAAAAAAAAGCCAGAATTAGAATAAAATATGATAATTTTAGGTTAAAAGATATACATTAGGCATAAAATAGGTCTTTTGTTGTAGTTAGTACACCATTTTGGTGCATGAAGTTGATTCACAATGTGTTCACCAAAATAATGTCCAACACTTATCTCAATATGCATCACACATTAATTCCGTGCATGAAGTTGATCAACGACGTGTTCACCAAAATAGTGGTTGACACGTATCTCAATATGCATCACACATTAATTCTGTGCATGATGTGGATCAACCATGTGTCACCAAAATAATATCTAATACGTATCTCAATATGCGTGTCACACAAATTTCGTGCATGCAGCGGATCCATCACGTGTTCACCAAAATAATGTCTGGCATGCATCTCAATACACATCACACACTAATGTCATGCATGATGCGGATCAACCACATTTCACAAAAATAGTAGCTGACACGGATCTCAATACACATCACACACTAATTTTATGAATGAGCAGACCAATAGTGTTTCACGTGTATCTTAATACACGTCACACACTAACTTCGTGCGTGGAGCGCATCAACCACGTGTCCACCATAATAGTGTATGACACGTATCTCAATACGCGTCACACGCTAATTTCATGCATGTAGCGGACCACCCACGTGTCACCATAATAAATACCACATTGGTCTGGCTCTCTTCTTTATAACCGAAAGAAATTTTTGCAAAGCCTTTCGTTGTATTTTGGCCCGTAGATCCGACCCGTTTGACCCGCGTCCATATCATTGCCTTTCTATGAGCTGCAACCCGATCCAAATGCCGTGTTGACCTGACCCGTATGTGACCCGTCTCCCCACATCAAATCTCAGCCATCCATCCTAGGGCTTCAATCTGAACCGTTCATTGTTTAATATATATTGCTGCAGCACACCACAAAACACACAATACTATGTGTGCGCCGTTGGTTCTTTCTCTCTCACTCTGTCTCACTTGCAATACCGGTGGTTCCGGTGATTTTTCACTGTGAAATTGAGAGGTTCTTTTTTATGTATGCTCTGGGGAGTGTTTGTGAGGATTTTTACGGTTCGATTTCTCTATTTCATTACGTTTCCGTTGTGAGAGTGGGGTTTCACTTCTTTGGGTAGAAGATAGGTGTTTCCTGGGTGCTGTTGGCCGGCGCCAGAGTTGTTCGTCGCTGTTTTGGTCTCGTCTTTGATAATAGTGGCTGACCTACAAAAATCTGAGCCACATAGCGTGTTTCGATTGTGTTTCGACTTTTTTTCTTGTTCCGGTTATCACCTTTCATGATATTTGGCGACGATTTTAACAAGTGAGTTATTAGTGATTTTCTTCATTGTTTCACAAGCATGTTAGTAATTAATGTTCTTTTTTTTTTCGTTCTAGTAAGTCATTTGAACTCTTTGTAAATTAATAGAGCTTTCTTGTTTTAAAAAAAGAAAACCTTATGAGAGTAGATTTTATGCGTCATGGATGCTATCGAACCATTACGATACGGTGGTGGTGGAGACGCGATGTCTATCGAGGATACTGCTTTCTTGAAGCTTAATTCCTCTAGAAACTGTCATGTGATTTTGTTGTTTCATATACACACAATCACACTGACAGTGACGGCGGCACTCCACGCATTCACAGTCAGAGCTCTGATCGACTATGTTTGCCCTATGCGCTTGAATGGATTCAACCTGGATGGAGGTAAACAAAGCAATGCATGCGAATTGCGGAGCCAGGTCGATCTTTTGAAATTAAAGATTGATAATCCAAGTTACCACAGACGGAATTGCCTTTTCAGGTTCCTCTTCCTGTTGTTTTAAGCAAAGAATTAATTTAATCTGTCCATCACTGTTGTTGGTGTTATTCAATTTATTTTTTTATTTTTCTGGTAGGGCATTGGCAGATCAATTGGAAGAAGATGAAGATGATCATGAGAAGTACAGAAGAATGGTGGTGAAATGTCTAAAGGTGAACATATAGTGTGGAGAATTTATAATATTTGGTGTTCTTAACATTAATCTTAATTACATATGAATTTTTTTGGCATATTTGGTATAATATTGATGTTAGCAGGGGTGGATGTATGTGGGGGCAAGGGGGGCTCCAGCCCCCCTCCCCCACCCCATCCCCTTATGATTTTTAATTTTTTGTTTTTATTTTATAATATATAATATAAAAAATAATAAATAAATTAAAAAATTGTAAAAAATTGATAGAATATTTATGTAAAAATTTAAATTTTGAATAATAAAAAAATTTATATCATAATAATTTTTTGATAATATAAAAATAGATATGAACAAAAAAGTAATATATAATAATTAAAAAAAATCTTCAAAAATTTCTCAACCAAATACACAGGAAATGATATTTTTAACAGCTTTTTTTTAATAAATGTTTTTATTATTTATCAATTTCATATAATACAAAATTCATCTTGTAATATGCAGTTGTCAGTGTAGATTGATATTTTGCAAGATTTTCGAAATATGATAACTCCATTATAAAATTATTGGATAACAAATAGATGATGATCGTTTCAAAATTTTAAAAATTAGCCCCCCCTTTCATCCTGGTCTGGTTCCGCCTTTGGATGTTAGAATATATCAATTAAAACATATAGAATGCTATGGAAAAATAAATCACAGATCTCAAACATTCAGTCATTGCTTATCCTAAATAGAGAACTAGAAAGAGTTTTTCGGTTGTATCCATAAGGTAGATCGGTGTATGTTTTCTTTTTTGTTCCAAATCTTAGCTCTACGAACATGATGGAGTAGTTTACTTTTATTTTTTTATATAGAGTAGGTCGTAGTAACCCGTTGATTTTTATAAGTAAATAAATCCATCCATCATAAATTTAGCTAACAAATCAAAAAATAATATTAAATAATAATTTAGATTGTTATTCAAAATATTGAGATTATATTTGATTGTTATCGAAATAAAATTAATTGTCCCAATAAATCTAACAATTGTAGATTATTGTTTTGACCAACATGTTTCGTTTGATAGGAAAATCCAACGATGTTTACACCCTTTGTTGTTGAAGATGAAGTTCCTTTGATAAATATTGCGAATCCAAACGGCAACGGCTTGTAACTGCAAGCCGAGAAAGAATTGCTATGGACGATGATGAAAGCACAAGAAATGCATAGATCCACGCAACAAATGTAAGTTTTTGGTAGTGTAGATGGATGCTATAGAACCATTACGACAAGGTGTGGTGGTGGAGACTATCCGCCTTTTTAATATGACATGGAAAAGTATGCCAGCACCGGAATGCAACCTTCTAGCTCCGTCCCCTCACCGATGCCTCACGGAAGAGTATAGTTATGTAAGGGGCGCTGTCTAACCCGGCCTGCCTTCTAGAACCCCAATTCTGTCATGAAGATTTTAGTAATTAAGATAATGTAAAAATGAGGACGAGCATTGTACATTTTGTAATTAAAAGAATTTTATATTCTCTTATTATTTGTTGTTTGTGGATTTCAATTTTTGGGTTTGAATTTTTTAATAGTAACAAGTTGAATTTGAATAGTTGGTTGATGTGATATAAATAGAGGTTGATGTGATATAAAATAAATTTGTAGTATAATATAAAATAATAATAATAATAATAATAATTGTTTGATGTGATATTTTTGGATGAAAAAAGAATTTAAATAGTAAACATTTGTGGTAAAATCCACAAAAGAACATAACCTAAAGTTTATTTTAGTTTTTAATGATGATTTTCGAAATAACACACCAAAATAGTGTGGCTTACCGGTTGTAATCATTTAATTTGTAGGCTACTGGTGTTTGATATAACACACTAATCATTTTAATGTCTTCAATAGTTTGCCAATATTTTGTGCTCATCCTCGAATGGATACATTTTAAAATTTGAACACATTAAATATATTTTGTCAAATAGGTGAAGCTACACAAGTTTAAATTGTCTATACAGTTATTCTAAAAAATTACTTGAACACATCTTAGTTTTTTGTATTTTTAAGATTCTCGAAAACTTACAATTGAACAATGCTGGTGATTTTTGCGAACTCCTAGGAGCGCAGCCGGCGGGGATTATAAATGAATCATGGAGAATTTGACATTGTAATTAACGAAAGATAATTAAATATATTAAAATGTGGCAAAAAAATCCAAAACCAACACTCGACACGTATTAAAATATATGTCCCACTCAAATTTCATGCATGATATAGATTAACCATGTGTCCATCATTTATAATTTGTATGATTATTTCGGATACTAAGCCATATCATTCAACTCATATAGTTTCTCCTAAAAATATATTTTTTTTTTACAAAATATTATTTAAATTAAAATTAGACAAACCAATACACATGTATATATATTTAACCTAAAAAGATATTTCATTCTAACTCTATAAATTTTCTCTTACTTTTGCTATTTTATTTTTTTAACCCCACACACACTCATTTAGGATTGAACTCGACATAGCCTCTAAGCGAAGGATGCCTCGGCACTTGAATTTATTAATAAAAAACACTTTTTTCCTTTTCTTTGAATTTGTTTTAATATAATTTAAAAGAATAAATATATATTTTTTTTAGAAAATAATTGCGTAACAAATTTATTTTATACTTTATTTTGTATCATTTGGTGGTTATTACAAACAAATTAACGTAAGAGATAAAATGGTCAACTTTAAGTGTCGTGAATTTTTATTACAATAAACTCCGTAACTAATATTAGTATTTGTTACAAACATATTGTTACGAGTCAATGTTTCATGGCGAAAGCCAGAGTTTTTGGTAGTGAAAAGCGGAGCTGCAATGTGTCTCATTGACGTTAACCGATTGTCGTCCAAAAATAGGCCATGAGCTGGAGTTGGCCAGAGGTAAGAAAAATGGATGGTCTTAAGGGTTGTGCGAGGATCTGTAAATGTATGGTATGCATTGAATGGTGATGACAGCTTCGGGTTCAAGTTTGAGTCCATGGAAAGGCAATGATGGAAGGAATGGAAGGACACAACATAAAATATTGGAAAGAAAGAATTGGGAAAAATAAATAAATAAATAAATAAAAGAAAAATAAGGGTGTGTTTATATTTGATTTATGATATAATATATATAATTAAAAAAAATTAAAAATGTGCTTAAATATTTTAAAAATTACATAAATAAAATTTTATATTCCATCCGTCTCAACTCAAAATATCATTTTTATCATTTTCGTCTGTCTTACTCCATAGTATCTTTTTCATATTTTAGTAAAAATAATCATACACCAATACCAAAATATTGTTAACTTTACTTAAATTACAAACATACTATTACACATACAATTACTTTTTACATAAAATCAAATGTCAAAAATGTCAAAACATCTTACACATTTTCACTAACTAGTAAAATACAATTATTTCTTAATTTATTACAAAATCTCAAAGAACCCCTTTGAACTGGGACGGAGGGAGTATTAATTAATATTATAAAAATAAAATAAAATTTTGAATTTATATACATATATTTATTTATTTTTTAAAAAGAAATTAGGTCCCATATGGGCAGCTACGGTGTTAAATGCATTCATATAATACAAATACAACACATAAACTAACATCACATGCTATAGTCTTATACAGTACAAATAATAGTTGATTTTAGCACACCATACTGATATAAAGCATACTTGTAACTATGAACCAACAATACAAATACAAGAATAATAGTCTTTGAATTATCATAAATAATAGTTGATTTTATCATACTACATACTGTTATAAAGTACATTTATATTACATGTCTTTATTATGCACACCATGTACTACGTATAACAAGAATATATGTTACTTGTATATTACGAATTTTCCAATTCAACACTTTAACCGTTCCCATCTCATATAATTACTATTTGGGAAAAAATAACATTAAAAGTATAATATCAATCAATCTAATTAAAGTCACCTTCCTATTTTTGGGCCTCTAAGCATTATGTGATTTTCTTTTTGTGGCCTTTTAATGAATAATAAAATTTGAAACTCAATAGATGTATTGGTTGTTAAGGCAACATAGGTCAGACTTCTTTAAGTGTTGAATTTTAACTTTTGAATATTATTTTAAGAAAATATATTGTATATTAAAGAAATGGAATTTAAGTAAATATTCTAAATAGTAATTTTATATGTTTGTTGCTCTGAGCATTAAGACCGGAACAAAACTATACATTTCCAATTTAAATTAATGTGATTTATATAACTTTCTTTTTAGTAATTAAATTAAGATTCGACATTTTCAATTGCTTGTTATTATTATTATTATTTTAACATATTTTAAACTTTAATTTCAAATTTTTTTACTAAGTTATACCTTAATTTTATTCCTAGGAATTGACTATTGATACATCTATGCATTTCTTATTCTGATTTGTATTCCACTACAAGAAAATAGTATTTTTGTAACAAAATTTTTTCATCCTTAAATTCTCATTTTTTGTTACTAATGACATTAGAGATAAAATTAAGGATAAAATTACATTAGTTACGTGAATTTTATGGACATAATTTCATTACAAATATATTATTTTCTTGTAGTATAGAAAGCAATTCTCGATTTAAATTTCAAGAACACATATATGTATTAGGATATGGATGGATTGAGCTTTGTTGGGTGCTGTGATTTCTTTTGGTAAGGAACTATAGATGCAAATCAACAAATATGAAACAAAGTTATATATTAATCAGTTAATCGACTTCAAATCAACGACGACACTATATTCTTGCACAACAAGCGGAACAAGTTCTCTACTTGGATTATCCAAATGCGACAAATGAATACTCTCTTTGGCAAGATTACATAGATGTTGAAATGGTAACATAACATAAAATTAAAACAACTTTTCGATCAAACTATGTTTGTGATTGTCTGAATAGATTGATAGAAATGAAAGGTCGAGATTAATAGATACAAAAGCCATTTTTATAGTAGAGAATTCAAGACAAGACTATTATCATAATACTATATCTAAAATTAGCAACTTGAGTAATTAATGTATTCTCTATCTATTATTTATTTATTTATTATTATTATTTCCGATCAGTTTACTTTGGGTGTGTTTGTTTAGGGGTTTGGATTTTGAGTTGAGATTTGAATAGTAAAAATTTTGAATTATAATAGTTGTATAATGTGTAATAAATAGAAGATGTTATGATATTTTGAATGTAAAATTAATTTTTAGTATAATATAAAATATAAAAAATAAATATTTGATTTGATACTTTTGAGAAAAAAAATTTAAATGAATAGTAAAATTTTGCCAAAATCCTTTAAACGAACACACCCTTAATGAAAGTGATGATTTTTTGCTTCACCGGCATGATCCTCCCTCGCCTGAGGCCTATTTGGACAAGAGTGTGGGAAGGACTCGACAAGCTGTCCATCCTTATGAATGGGCAATATAATTAATGTCCGTACAATCAACTTGCGGCTGAACAGAAATAAAAATATAATTTTATACAATATTATTTTATGTTGTTGTGCGATTTGGCACCAAAGTGAATGCTATTTATTGTTGTTGTGGCTTTGCCAAAATGTGGACCACAAATATTATTTGGTTGAACTGTCTTTTTCAATCCCGTAACTGGAGCATGTTGCAAATTAATTTCATAAGTGGAAAATTTTTGTTGTTTTAATCCTCCGACGCCGGAGACGTCCATGTGACTCGCCGGAAGCTACTTGTATGCCAGGTGTCCCGCCAGATCAGCGACACCTGGCGGACATATGGGTTTTTTTTTTATTTTTTTATTTTTTTAATTGGACCAAATAAAAAAATTAAAAAAATTAAAATCCACGCCCGGCGGGGACACGTGGCCTCCGGCGAGCCACGCGAGCGTCTCCGACGCCGGAGGACCTAAACAGCGAAAATTTTTCACTTATGAAACTAGTTTGCGACATATTCCACTTACGGGACTAAAATAATAAAAGGGTCCAGTTACGGGACTAATTTGACGATAAATTATATTTTATTTATTGTTGTGGCACGAATTTGGTGCCAAATAGATACTGACAAATATTTTTTTTTAGTTTTTATTTTTATTTTTTGGATGACAAACTCTGCTAATGAGAAGATATATAGTAATCAAGAAACAACAGCGGATAATGCAGTGAAACTGTTGCAGGTTTGGTGGCACCGTTTATTCTGTGCCAAAATTATGTTTACACGGGAATGTACATTTCTATATCTTTAGATATATTATATATATAATAATATCAATATAAAAATACATAAAATTATGATATTTGGCGCACCCATATTTGGCGCACCCATATTCTAATAATTATGATATATAACAACCAATGAAAAATTAAATAAAAAGATGCAAAACTCTAGAAAATAAAAAGCTCGTAAAAGTGGACATGCAACTTTGAAAGATAGATAGATAGATATATATATAAGATGAGAAATGGGAGTCAATGAAAATGGTCGAGCTGTGACTATA